CGAAGGAGATGGCGCTGGTGAGCACCTTTGTTCCCCGCCAAACTGAGCTCTGTTGTCGCGGGGCTCAGCAACTCTCCCTCCCTTTGTCCTTCAGCCTTCCCACTTTCCGAGCAGAGCTGTTAACTTATGACCTCCTAGATGCTAAGTCCCGCTTGCTGTTGGAACACACTCCCTCTGGCCCCTCCGCTTTTGCAAGCCAGACTTGGGGGCTCTGCTTGGCCGGCAGGCTGCCCCTCTGCCCTGGCTCCCTCCCACCAGTCCGTGGAGTGCGCACCGCTTCGCCGTCCTTCCTACCCTCTTCCGTGGGCCTCTCGTCTGCGCTTGGCTCCGGAGACTCCTTTCTGCTAATCCTCTGGTGGTTTTCTGGGTTATTTAGGCAGGTGTAGGTGGAATCTAAGTGATCAGCAGGACGCACGGTGAGCGCAGCGTCCTCCTATGCTGCCATCTTCCGACGATCCCCCCCTACCTTGCTCATTTCTAAGATAGAATACTGAAACATTGATGGCTAAAAATAGTTTGTATGCTTTTGTTTCTTATTTTTTATTATGATAGAGAGGCTATATCTTTGGGTCTGTTAATGTGTCTACTTCTGCCACTTGGTTATGTGAGGGATGTAAATGGCTGTGAAAGTTGTCTTATGTGTGTTCATGAGTTTGGCTAGTCTGCACTTTAGCTTGTGTGTAACGGTTCACAATTATATACCTACCCCTCCCCACATTTTGTGTGTGTGTGTGTGTGTGTGTGTGTGTGTGTGTGTGTGTGTGTGTGATAGAAAAAAATGGAAAGTACTTGGCCTAAACATTTTTATTAGTATCACTTAAATATTTTTATGAACAATGGTTTCACGGAAATCCAGCTGTGTACAGGTGAGTTTTTCTAGGAACTACAGGTGAAACCTGGTAGGAAGAGTTTGTTAGTCTCGACTTCCTAGTCTCAGGATATCAAATGATGGAGGTCTTTAAAAGTCCAACCTGAGATTCCTTATGAAAACTTCCATTAAAGCAAACTTAAGGCCTATCTGGTTGCTATACCTATGTAAATAATCAGACCAAATCTGGTGAAATTAGCCTTGTTTTGTGAGCAAAAGTTACCTTATTTTGAGATTTATCAAAATGTAGGCAACTAAGGTAAAAAAATTTGTCCTCCAGTAGAAAATGATGCATTCCCTATAGTCTATAGTTTATAGACTAAGCATTGTTTACAGCCCTCCACATAATCTGATTCTGATCCTATGGGAGCTATTTTACAACTGTGAGCTGTAGGTAGTTGAACGACAATGCAGAATAATTCTACATGTCTGTGGACACATAAATTCTGTCTAGTGGAGGTTCAGCTGATTTCCCTTCTGCACTGTGGAACAGGCCAGTTTTGCTATTCATTTCAATATTTCTGATCTATAATACATCTCTTTTTTTAATTCTCCTTTGAACTGGTTGTAACACCTCACCAATTTCCTCATTAATGAGTTAAATAAAATCTTTAACATGTGTTCATTTAAAATTTTTTTTTTCAACGTTTATTTATTTTTGGGACAGAGAGAGACAGAGCATGAACGGGGGAGGGGCAGAGAGAGAGGGAGACACAGAATCGGAAACAGGCTCCAGGCTCTGAGCCATCAGCCCAGAGCCTGACGCGGGGCTCGAACTCACGGACCGTGAGATCGTGACCTGGCTGAAGTCGGACGCTTAACCGACTGCGCCACCCAGGCGCCCCAACATGTGTTCATTTTAATATCTGATTGGGAGTCCTGATTTTACCTTTTGAAAATTATCCTTCAATATTACCTACTTATTTAAAGATAGGCACACTATCTGCAAATAGACATGCTCCATAATTGGGCTGTAACATGTACAGGGAAGTCTTATAATGCAGATGTAAAGTTTATTTCTCTTATCTTTTTCAATTCTTTTCACAGAACATTGAAAAAATTATAGCATAGCATACAACTTTATGATAGAGTATAAAGAACTGTTAGCTGGCTGTGTTTATAGGTTTTTATTGCCTATTTACATTTTTAAACCTAAAAAGTGTGCACCTTATATCTATTATTCCACTCTATCCAGAACTTTGCAAAAGTGGTTGATGAGGCCATAATGACTGACTGAAAGACTAATCACATGACTTTTTCTATCAATGAAGTCTACAATCAAACATCTATATCTTCCAAACCCCATTGCACTCTTGCAACCTTTAATTCTTTCTCTTCTTATACAATAGTATCATGAACAGGTGGGAAGGTGGATGCCAAATTATTTCTGAGTCTTTCTTTTAAAAAAATTTTTTTAAAGATTTATTTATATTTGAGAGAGAGAGAGAGAGAGAGAGAGAGAGAGAGCAGGGGGAAAGGCAAAAAGAGAGGGAGACACAGAATCCGAAACAGGCTCCTGGCTTTTGAGCTGTTAGCACAAAGCCCAATGCAGGGCTTGAACTCACAAACTGTGAGATCATGACCTAAGCCAAAGTCAAATGCTTAACCAACTGAGACACCCAGGTGTCTCATTTCTGAGTCTTTCTTTTTTTTTTTTTTTTAACGTTTATTTTTGAGACAGAGAGAGAGCATGAACGGGGGAGGGTCAGAGAGAGGGAGACACAGAATCTGAAACAGGCTCCAGGCTCTGAGCTGTAAGCACAGAGCCCGACGCGGGGCTCGAACTCACGGAGTGCGAGATCATGACCTGAGCCGAAGTCGGCCGCTTAACCGACTAAGCCACCCAGGCACCCCTCTGAGTCTTTCTTAATCAAGGCCAGGGAAAATTTTCACATCCATGAAAGAGAACATAAAAAGGGTTAAGGGTTTTAACTTTCTCTCCTCAGCCATCTTCTGCTCCAGTACTTTAGTTTGAAGTTAACATATATAGCTCCCATTCTATTCTTCTTCACCTCTAGCTCTGCTAAGCATACTTTATGAAATTTTCCTTGACAACCTCCGACTTGGATCTATTCTTTAAAAACCTATAGCAATTACTGCCAGAAAATCCATTTGGCAAATGGATAATTTGGGTCTACTGGTTATTTAGATATAATTAGGGGCTACTGGTTATTTAGAACTTTTATATTATATTTATATTTCACATGTATAGTTTTTATTTCCCCAAATTAATGGCAAGGTCTATGAGGGCAGAAACTGTTTTTATTTATTTATTGTTGCATACCCCAGAGTGTTCCTTCCTTAATGATAAATTGTGACTGTTTTTTTAATTTGATTTAGTATTAAAATTGATGTATCTTTTGTTTTTCTACAGGAAAGAGCAAAGGTAAAGAAAAGATCTAATAGAAGCAGTTTTGATTGGCACTTACTCTATAGTAACTGGATATTCATTATCTATATGTCTTAATGTTTTGTGCATATTTGTTAGTGTTTTCTCTCTTAGGCTATATAAGATAGACCAAATAGATTTTGAATAAATAGATGGGTCATGCAACATTACATGCAAATAGGTGTTTGATAAATATTAATACTAAGGATGAGAATCACCATAGTGATTCCATTAGATTATGAAACCCTTAAATTAAGAAAAAGAATTCTGTCTAACCTGTTTTTATATCTCTGACCCTAGGACTAAGCACAGAGTCTGTGCCAGTTATCCACACTGTCTCTCAACTCCAAGTCTACTATCCTTTGCCTTGCTCTGTGACACTGGAATTGGACCCCTTTTACCATTTTTTCTTTGGCAACTGGCTTTGTTAGTAGAGGGCACTGGAGAGACACTGAACTTCTGGCCCACTTGCACCTTCTGGCAAATGTATTCTGCACCAGCAGGCTAGTGCTCCTGTGGCAGCCACACTCTGTCCAAAGAAATCTGAAGCTGCCTTGGTTGAAGGAGAAGGAGCTTCTGTGAGTTCTTAGTCTCTTCCTGTTCACTCTCTTGCAGCCTAGGGGTAGTGGTTTCTCTCTACACTTGCTACTTCTGGAACTCTTAGACAGTTTTCTTTTACAGCTTTTAGTGGTTAACTCAGTTAATTACCTTTCATTAAATTAAAAAAAATTAATGTTTACTTATTTTGGGAGGTGAGGGGCAGAGAGAGAGAGAAATGGAGGATCTGAAGCAGGCTCTGTGCTGACAGCAAGATCACAACCTGAGCCGAAGTCAGATGCTCAACCAACTGAGCACCCAGGAACCCCTCACTAAATTTTTTAATATCAAATTACTTGATATGGTTTCCATCTTCTAACTAAACCCTGATTTATAGTGCCTGACACTAAGTACTTAATAAATGTTTGTTGGCTGATGAAGGCAGAATGATAATGTTACTTAGATGAGAATTTATGCTTTTGAGAATTTTGAGGTGTTCTACATTTCGGAAAATAGTTTGTGAACTTTTGAGACATTTCTGTTTGAAATCCAATCCCTTTCTGTTTAAAAACTAACAAAATTTTACAGCTGTAATATATGTTTTGCATTAATTATATTTCTTCTATGAAATTACCATATTATAGAATTTACCCCCAAAACAATATGGATGGTAACTTTTTGTTCTACAGGAATTCATATTTTTCCCCAAGAATTTCACCGTTGAAAATAAGAGGTGGGGGGGCGCCTGGGTGGTTCAGTCGGTTAAGCGGCCGACTTCGGCTCAGGTCATGATCTCGCAGTCTGTGAGTTCGAGCCCCGCGTGGGGCTCTGTGCTGACAGCTCGGAGCCTGTAGCCTGTTTCAGATTCTGTGTCTCCCTCTCTCTGACCCTCCCCTGTTCATGCTCTGTCTCTCTCTGTCTCAAAAATAAATAAATGTTAAAAACAAAAATTTAAAAAAAGAAAGAAAATAAGAGGTGGGGTAGCGGTGGTAGAGAGAGTAAGCCTACTCTTAATAGCACTCCACTTATTCCTAATTTAGTATCTATAAAAAGTGGTTGACCCTTACCATTTTCCAGTCTTGGGCTTGGCTGTCTCCAGGAGTATAAACATCAACTTTGCATACTCCATTTTGGCTTTGTAGCCAGTCAACCCTATCCGACATCTGGAAGTAGAAAAAAAATGAGAAAGGGTCATCAAAGGGACAGGTTACATGAACATAAAGAGAAATAGGCAAATGGCTGAGGTGTGGAAAACAGCAATGCTTTCAATAGAGAGACCTATCCCAAAAGCTACTTCAACCCACCGAACTCTGGATCTCTTCATCCTCAGCTGTCAACTGCAGGAAGATTTCTTAAATATATGTGTCTCTAGTACGGAAGCTGGTGCTTGGTATATGTAGACGTGCTTAATACAGATTTGTTCATAAATGAACCTATGTAGCCATGTGTTCTGCTCTATGTGTTCTTGCTTGATAACCCTTCCACATCCTGGATTTTCAGTAGACACTCAAAACTCAATGTGATCAAAATAGAATTAATTTGTGTCTTTCTGCCTGTTGTTGTCCCACCAACTTTTTTTTTTTGCCCACCAGCTTATTTTTAAAGTAATATATGCTTAATTTTCATTAATTTCTAGAGCACTAGCTTAACTTACATTAACAATAAGTCTAGTAGATCCTCCTTAAGACCAATCTCTCCTCCAAGTAGCCAAGGATCCTAGGGGAATTCTTAGTTTCCATAGTTCAGCCAATATTCTTGAGGCCGAGAGAAAAGAGATACCACATGCACCATCCAATGGGCCTTTGCGTGGATGCCCTTGCTGATACTGACTGTACTATAGCTCTCCCAATACTTTGCTCTACTCCCTAATCTCAATAATGGCACTGCGATCTAGCTAGTCTTCCAAACCAGAAAGCTGATAATCATTTTAGTTGTTTTCTCCCACCACAAGCCTCCATCTAGCTGCTACGACTGTCTTCTTTCATTTGTTGCCATTTGTCATGAAAGAATTGCTTATACTTGCTTTTGGCTCACCTCAAAATTTAATGAAATAGCCCCTATTCTTATATTCCTTGCCGTAGTCTTGTCCACTTTCCATACCATTGCATCTTATTTGATAGTCTTCAAAAATATGGCCAATTATCATAATATTTGTCCACTGCTAATCTACAAGTATGAGAAGCTTATCTTTGACCTCTTTTTCCATGCCGGATTTCCATTACCAGGCTTCCATACTGAAGTTCCCTGCTTTCATTACAAAGTTTGCTTACATCTATACTTCTCAATAAGGTATAATAAGCCAATATTTCCTCTCTAATGTGCCTAAAAATTTTTATTAAGCAGATATACAGATTCATATTTGATTTGCACAAAGCAAAGCAAGTATTTAAAATTGTTATAAGTTGTTTTAAACTGTTACAGTAAAGTCCAAAAGCTCATCCTAATTTTTTTTACAGTGAAATTGCATTTTATAAAAATTTGCTTGAAATAAGCATTATTAGGGGTTGAATAGCTTGTTAATTGGAAATATTTGTTTTAAAGGACTTTGGGCAGTGGTGGGGGTTGACATCCTCCCTCAAAATTAAACCAACACAAATAAAATACAGATTACACACATGACTTAAGCTTACTTATAAATGGATTTATTATTCTTGTCATATAGAATATTATGGGTAATTATTAAAAAGAAAATAGGGGTCCCTGGGTGGCTCAGTTGGTTAAGCATCCAACTTCTGCTCAGGTTATGATCTCGTGGTTCAGGAGTTCGAGCTCTGCATCGGGCTCTCTGCTGATAGCTCAGAGCCTGGAGCCTGCTTCAGATCCTCTGTTCCCCCCTGCCCCCCACCGCCCCTCCCCAGCTCATTCTCTCTTTCTCTCTCTCTCTCTCTCAAATAAATAAATAAATAAATAAATAAATAAATAAATAAATAATAAAACAGAAGACCTTTTAAGAGCTACTTGTCTTTTGCTCCCACAAGGATTTGTACGTATTTTGATACCCCAATCACTAATTCAGATTCCTGAGTTAGGGACACAGTTTCTCTTACTCTTCCTGACACTGTAATACAATAGATTCCTTGGGTAAGCAATGGGTTCTCCACCCTGATTAGACCTTAGAATCACTCAGAGAGCTGTTTAAAGATACTGACACACATACTACCTTCCAAAGAATCTTATTTCCTTTTTTAAGAAACATTTTTAAAATGTTTATTTATTTTTGAGAGAGAGAACACAAGCAGGGGAGGGGCAGAGAGAGAGGAGGGACATAGGATCCAAAGCGGGCCCTGCACTGACATCAGAGAACCTGATGAGGGGCTTGAACCCACAAACCATGAGATAATGACCTGAGCCAAAGTCGGATGCTCAACTGACTGAGCCACCCAGGCAACCCCCAAAAATCTTATTTCAATGGTTTTGGGGTGGGGAAACTTAGACATTGAATTTTGTAAAAGCTCGCTGGATGATTCTAATATACATCTGCGTAAGAATGAGAATCCCTGGGCCTGGGTTTATCTGGAGAGATTCTCTCTGAGAAAGACTGGCCAGCTCCAGAAAGATAAATATTTATTCTTTTCGTTAAAAATTTCTACAATTTCCTAAAGTTCTTTGGTATCTCATTTTAATAGTTTTCTTTTAACCCTAACAAGGGAGTTTTTAAAGTCTATGAAGTTAAGCCTAGTATGGTCTCTCAGCAGCTATTATATGCTAATATCCTTATGCTTGAGTCATTACCACGAATAAAGGAATGGATATTACTATTACTTGGACAAATAATGAGAAGACTTAGAAACAGGTTGCTCTGGACTGTTGACAGAACAAGTGAGAGTCAATAGCTTACCTCTCAATCTCCAGTTGATATTTCATCCTAATGAATTGCTTTTAATAGAAAATGACAAACTCAACAGGATCTCCTAACTTATTTAAGCTATATGTCACAATTAAAAAGTAAGAGTGAAAATTAAGTGCAAAAGCAAGGAAATTATGTGATCACTTACTCTTACTGATGACAGGTTCTGAGATACGAGGAAAGCTCTTGACTAATTTGTTGTCTTCACTATCCCTAAATTTACCCACCCCTCCTGCCATGAAATATAAGGGATCTGCAATGGAAAGACACAGATAAAAATGACTAATTTTACATATGAACCCAATTGCCCTTATTACCAAATAATGATTTTGACTTGCACATTATTTTTCACATGTAGCACACAAGTCATGAGCACAAAATGACATTCAAATTTCAAGTCCAGATCTTATTCTGGGTGCAGTCTGATGGTTCCCAGATGACAAAAAAAGGTTCTATCTTTTGGCCAACAGTTCCTGAAATGACTATTATTATTCTCCACTTCCAAATCAGTGATTTATAGCCTTAAATAACAATGACGAAACTAAAAGTTTTTAGGTTAATCTCAAACTTGCTTGATTAGTAAGTCAAAAAATAAATAGCTAGAATGAAGAATAAGTGCCCTGAATTAATTCATGGATCTCAAAACACTCTGTAAATATTCTTTTGAGGACTTAAGAGAAATATACATCTTCATGTTGTAAAGGGGATTTATAGTTAGTTAGATATAACTTCCAGATCAATGATCTTCCTTACACTACCTCTTATAAGACATTTAAATTAGGACATTAGGGCACTGTACTTTAAGACATTAGGGCATTGTACTCTCATACTGGAATATCCACCCAACCTCCTAGTGATGTCTCTCTAAATACCACCCTTGCTTGATAGTTCAGGACAAAGCTTACCCCATCTATGAAATATTTCCTAAATACCTAATTCAATGTGATTGGTCCTCCATCAAGGTTTACGTCATATTTTGCTTCAACCTTTACATCCCATCTAGTTTTTTAATTGCTCACATATAGTTCATCTCCTTTATTAGATGGCTAAGGGCAGATGCATTTTCTTACTCATCTTGGTATCCCTCATAACTAGTGTATTAAAGTTGGTGCTTAATAATTGTCTGCTGAAAGAATGAATATATGAATAGTGCCCATTTCTAATTCCAGATAGTGTCAACTGTTCTTTCTTTAATAGGAGAATCTGAGAATAACTCTCTATCCCTCTCTCTCTTCATATATATATTTACACATATATATGTATATATATTTACACATATA